TAAACTCGTTGGTAGATGTATAATATTCTAAACTTATAAATAGTTGATAGAATGTAATATTTTGGATTGTAAAGCATGTTTTAGAAGTTAATCTACGTTTGGAGTTTATTAGTAGCTCTGCAATGTTTGTGTCTTAGAATTAAGTCTCGTTAGTGACACCGCCCGTTCCGGACCACGGGGACGGGGGATGTTACAAATGTGGTATCAGAGCATAGGTTTTGACTTGTAGATAAAGTAAGCTTGACCTGTGAGAAATGGGTAGACATAAGAACGAGTATACTAGATTCTAATTCTATCTACCGTTTTTCTAATCCATAACTGTTTTGAATTCTGATTTTCATGTTGTTTTATTTTAGAATGTTGAGACGTGGTCTCCCACGCAAATCCAGATCTCAACCTGAAGGTAACCCAAACCCCAACCCCAATCCAATGGAGGGTGAAAGTGAACCCAATATTGCTGATGTGGTCCGTCAGACCATGTCAAGTCTGATGCCTACATATCTACAGCAGGCTATTCAGGCTATGCAACAAGCAGCACATAATCTTCCTTCAAATCCAAATCCTGTTACTACACCAAATACTGGATTTCCTGCATCCAGTTCGGGTGAAATATATATATGACTTAAAAAGTTTAACAAACAAAAACCTCAATCTTTCTCAACTGCCATAGATTCTGTGGATGCCGAACACTGGATTCGACACATAGAAAAGATTTTTAATGTCTTAGATGTTCCAGATCAGTATCGAGTCCGTTTGGCTACTTATATGTTTGAGAAAGAAGCCAATGACTGGTGGGATCTTGTATACAAACTGATCCATCTGTTAAAGACTTGTCTTGGAATAATTTCAAAAAAATTTTCTTCAAGCAATACTTTACCTCGGCTGATCGCGATGCCTATGTGCGGGAATATGCTACTATCCAGCAAGGCGAGGAAGAAACAATTGCTGACTACATGGCGCGGTTTCTTAAATTTTCTCGTTTTGCAGGAAATGCTGCAGGCACTCAAGTCCAACAAGCTGACAAATTTAAATGGACTTTGAACTCGAGGTATAAAGATCGCCTCTTGAATCATCCTTTTCATATCGTTACTGAAGTGGCTGACGCAGCAAAGAATATTGATCGGTCACGACAACAATGGTTAAATTCACGCGTTGACAATAAGAAACGCGGATCTGAATCTTTCTCCTGAAGCAACCCTTGTTTTGTAAAATCAAAGTTGAGCAGTGATACCCAAAAAGACTCGAATCTATTCACGCTACGACTTCCAGTGTTGTCTAGCAGTGGGAGTCAAAATGTTTCTGGCCCTGTTATTAATTGTGATCGATGCAATCTTCGACATCGACCGGGTCCGTGTTTAAAGATGACCGGTTCCTATTTCAATTGTCGAGAACAAGGTCATATGGCAAAAGATTGTCCCAAGGCTCGGATCCAAACTGACAAAGGGAAAGGTAAACAACCAAGTACTAGTGGACGAGTCTTTGCATTACCTGGCAGCAAATCTCAAGCGAGTATGATTTCGGGTCATGTTAAATTAATTGATTTATCTGTTTATGTTTTGTTTGATACTGGTGCGACACACTCAATTGTTTTTGAACAATTAGAATCCCGATTAAAACCGTATGAGCAAACCACCGAATTTCCAGTTGTAATATCTACTCCAATGGGTGGTTCAATTTGTGTGCTAACTCGTTTTTCCAACTGTCCATTGCTTATTGGGAACTGCATACGAGAGGTCACCCTGCTTCCAATGCATATGTCTTACTTTGATTTAATATTGGGTATGGACTGGTTGTCACACCACCGGGCAACAATAGACTGTAATGCCAAACAAATTCTGTTTGGGGATATAGACAACCCAGAAGCAATCTTCCAAGGAGGTACTCCAAACGAAGATGTTAGTGCAGTAGTCTCTATTACTATGAAACAATATACGTGGCAAAACAATGAAAGTTTTCTTGCTGCTCTACAAGATCCCGAACAAGTATTTCCTACTTCAAGATCCATACCTGTTGTTTCTGAATATCTTGAT